TCTCCCAGTTCTTTTCATTTGTCTCCCAGGCTGGGTGCTTGTGGTCAGGTTCCCGGCTGGCTCGTCTCCCACTTCCTTTCATTTGTTTCCCACTTCTTTTCATGTGTCTCCCACTTCCTTTCATTTGTTCCCCCACTTCTTTTTCATTTGTCTCCCAGTTCTTTTCATTGTCTCCCAGGCTGGGTGCTTGTGGTCGGGTTCCCGGCTGGCTTGTCTCCCACTTCCTTTCATTTGTCTCCCACTTCTTTTCACTTGTCTCCCAGTTCTTTTCATTCGTCTCCCAGGCTGGGTGCTTGTGGTCGGTTTCCGGCCGGCTTGTCTCCCACTTCCTTGCATTTGTCTCCCACTTTTTCCCCAAACAGTTTACTTTTAGGGGTTCTCAATTCTTTCTTAAGATGTGTCCGCCCTTGTGTCACTGCTGGTGTCCGCCCATTTCCACTCGCCGCTGGCCGTGTAGCATTTCTATTCATTTGTCTCCCAGGTCTGCTGGCGATGCGACATCTATATTCATTTGTCTCCCAGGTCTGTCACTGGTGGTGTCCGCTGGCCATGCAGGAATTCGGTTCATTTGTCTCCCAGGTCTGTCACTGCTGCTGTCCGCCCCTTTTCACTAGCCCATGTAGCATTTCTATTCATTTGTCTCCCAGGTCTGTCGCTGCTGGCGTCGGCCCTTTTCCGTTGGTCATGTAGCATTTCTGTTCACGAAAGCTAGCATGCTAGCTGAGTTCTTCTTTGCTTTAGCAATTGGTAGTGGGATGAGCTGTGTGCCTTAAAGCTTGATATATCACACTAACCACCCCCCCTCCCCGCCCCCACGGTTCGACTCCCAGCTGCAGCGGGGGTTGGTTGAACGTGTGAACGTGGTTGGTTGGGTGTAAACGGTGGCTTGGTGTAAACGGTGCTGCTGCTGCCGCTCTGCTGCTTGCTGCTGCTGCTGCTGCTTGCTGCTGCCGCTGGTTGCCCCTTTTGTAGCTGCTGCTTTGCTACTTGGTGCTGCTGGTGCTGTTGCTGACGACTCCGCTGCTGCTGCTGCTGCTTGCTGCTTGCTGCTGCTGCTGCTGCTGCTGCGGCTTGGCGCTGCGCTGCTGCTGTGGTGCTGCTGGCTGGCTGCTGGTTGGTGTTTGCTGCTGGCTGCTGGCTGCTGGCTGCTGGCGGTTGCTGCTGCTGCTGCTGCTGCTGGCTGCTGCTTGCTGCATAGGACTTGTACTTCACTGTTACAAGTTCTAACCCCTAGTTCTAACCTAATGCATGCATATGCGGGGGGTAAATTTACCCCCCAGAGTTGCCATAACCATAAGCCGGCTATTTCCTCAAGACACTCTACTCCTTATACCTTTTACCAGTGCTTATCCTACACTGCGGACGCCCTAGTGTATGCACAGCCCTTGTGATGCCAGAAATA